AAAGAAAGAAAGAAAGAAAGAAAGAAAGAAAGAAAGAAAGAAAGAAAATCAGTAAGAACTAACTCAGGAGACAGAAAACTGGGGACAGAATTTATTTCAATATTGAGGATTATAGAAAACTGATCACACACCATTATGATTTTTGTGCATTTCAATTTCGTAAAATTAATCTTCGAAAACTCACAGGGTGAAGTCTAACTGATATACATGCTGAAGTGATTACAGGTGTTCTGTGCTGATACCCATCAAAAACAAGTAAATGGACAGATGGAATGAGCAGATAAAGAAATACCCAGTATAGCAAACTGCTCTGTTGTTGAAGCTATTGTAAATATATGAGGTAAATGCTTTTGCGATAAAATGCTTTTGCCCTTTGTATATTTTTGAAAACTTTAATAATAAAAATATCTGGGGAAGGGGACAATAAATAATAAAAATCAAAAGTAATCACTTCTACTTCAAGGAAGATATTTTCATTCCTATTCCTCTTGAAAAACAACAACTCTGCATGCTACAGATTTTTAAGAAGATGATTGTGTTGTGAAGAGAAAAAGTAGATCACTGTAAGATCTCAGAACCCAATGGAAAAAAAAAAACAGTGTGATGAGTCATAGTTTTTTTGTTTGTTTGTGTTTTTTGGGGGGGGTTGTTTGTTTTTGCTACATCTCTCACTCTTATAGCTAAAGAAGTTAACAAACCAGAAAAACCAGTGGTCATGGGCCAAAAGAGCCTCAACAAAAGCCTGCTCTTTCTAGCTATCAGATGGGAGAAAAAAAGACAACCCTGGGAAGACAGCAAAGTGTAGACCACAACTATTGTGCTCTGGCCAAACACTGCAGAAAAAACTGTGGTCACACATACCAGCAAGAGCCTAAGGCAAGAATGAGACTTTTCCCTCTCTTGAGCATCCAGCAAGGAGCCTGATATCTCTGCCAGAGTCTTGCTAACACCTGACAAAAAAAGGCCTTCGTGCCTATGGGCAGGTAGGGACCCCACAGGCAGTGGAGACTACATGTGAAGCCTAGACTTTCACCCGTGCAGCAACTGGGTCAGTGTCAAACCCCTTCCTGCTGGGAATTCTAACCCCTGCCCAGTACTAATGAGGACCTTCATCTATCGGGTGTCAACAGGAACCTAAGTAGGGAACCTGGATTTTCACCTCCATGCAAGAGTGGCAAGCTGGCATTCCTTGCTCGCTTTCAGAAGTGTTAGATGAAGTCAATGGAAGCAGAAGGTTTAAATAAAATGTGGAGTCTCATGACATAATAAACAAGAAGTTCAAGAGCCAAGAAAATTCCAAAGCAAATGAAAAACATCAATCAATAGTTACCAACATGTAGACAACTCAATCGATATGAATTTTAATTCCAAATACATATGGTAAGCCCCACTCTTCTTCCTTGTGCTGTCTTCTCTGATCCCAGGTGCCACCAAGGCTCTGTAAGTGGCCGTGACCCAACTTTTAGCCATTCCACTACAGACGGAAACCTGGGGACGGGAGTCTGTACACTAAGGGAAAGGAAAGCCTCAGTAGAGAACTAAAACCTTCACTTCTACTCCCGCTCAACTGCCTCCAGTGAGCTACAGGACAAAGCCACGGAGGAAGCGAGTGTATGGTTATTCTTCTTCATGACACTTGATACTGAAATCGCACAGAAAAGATGAAGTTTGCACAACTGAATGTTGTAAAATATGAAAGAGCTGACTCGTGCCATCTAACTAATGTTTCCATCTGAAATTTATCCCTGTGACTACAGACCGACATCGAGTTACCTTCTTACACTTAGATACACTTAAGAAATATCATAAAAACTGATTTTGTCACCTGAACCAGTAAAGCGTAGTCCATTTTGCACTTGTAAGTAAAAACAAACAAGATCAAATAAACAAACAAATAGATAACCATTTTCTTGATGATACAGGGTCACAGGTGGAGGGAGATGGCTGGTGAGTGAAAAGCGACTGTGAAATTGTGACTGCATAAGGAATGAATGACACTGTCTTCTTCACTGTGCGTCCAGTCCTGTCTTTCTCTCAAGTACCAAGCAGTCAGGGCCAGCACACACGTGCGCATGCGCACCCCTCTGGCTGACCGAGTCTGCTTGTTTTTATAGTTGGTAGACTGTTACTGAAACCCACCCTTGCTGTTAGAGAATGGACGATGGCACAGTTGACCATCGCCATTGCACTTCTCTTAAGCATAGTAGGGAAGAGAACTGTGCCTCGCTTTGGAGAAGTATGGGCAGAATAAATCTTCTCCAGACACCTAGAAATTAGTAGTGCTACTGATTAATTTCTGTTTCTTCCTTTGAACAAACTTACCATCAAAAACTCCTTTGACATTTTCTGTAAATTCTTCCATTTAAGCCCAGGAGATCTTGCATTTATACACAGGGGGGAGAAAAAACTACATCATATGTAGCTGGTTTTGATGTTAATTTTAATATATTTTCCTATGTTGTTCTTACAAAAGTATGTTCGTATGTAGGCCAGGCTGGCCTTGAACCCATAATGCCTGTCCCCTAGCCTTCCAAGTACTGGGATTACAGGAATGCACGATCACACGCAACAGTGGTTTGCTTTCATGTTCATCATTACCGTCTAGTTCATGCTAGAGTCCTACATTTTTAATGTAGCACATTCTGAAATGCAGTTACGTGCTTCCAGAATATGGAAATTTTACATACTATAGCTCTATGTATTTTCCTAGTGAAATAAGCCCATACCACTGTGCTCCCTTGTGTACCAACTGGTAAGACTTCAAAGACCACATGCAGATACTATGTTAATTTAAATAGAAACTCAAGCAATGTCAGTTCAAATTCGAGCACATGGGTTAAAAAATAAACAAAGTTAGGTAATTATTACATTAAAATTGTGAACTTTGGTGTTCTTTCCTCTGAGATCTAAGCACAGGGTTTTTTTTAGAAAAGGCCAACTATTTAGTACAAAAGTTTATACGTTTTAAAAACAATATTTAGTGTTTTATGATATGTTAGACACCCATTTTCCACACACACAATCATTTCAGTCACTGAGAGAATGAGGCACAGTATTCCATTCATAAATCTAGAAGCTGAAAGGTCACTTAGAAAAGAGCCCCAGTGAAAGACCTCCTGGCGTTGACTTGGGGTGAGCTGGCAGCCACCTTGTGAAAAAGTACTCAAAAAAGATGGTCTCAACTTTCTTTAAATATCCTTAAATACGTGCAGGCAAAATTGAATGCATTTCTCAACTCTAATAATAACAAAACCAGACAGAGATCATATGTGGTATATACATTTTTGCTAAGCCCATGCTTTCAGAATGCTTACGAGCAAAAAGAAAAATAAGTAAACCAATCTTTACTTTTAATACACATGTATTATTTTCCCTTTTAATACACATGTATTACTGTTCAATCATTATAGATGAAAAACTCAAGTGATAGCACATGCTGGAGAGGTTGTGGAGAAAAGGGAACCCTCCTCCATTGCTGGTGGGAATGTAAACTGGTTCAACCACTTTGGAAGTCAATCTGGCGCTTTCTCAGACAACTAGGAGTAGTGCTACCTCAAGACCCAGCTATACCACTCCTAGGTATATACCCAAAATTTGCTCAAGTACACAACAAGGACATTTGTTCAACCATGT